GGAAGGAAGTGAGCGCAATACAAAATACGGAATACGGAATTGCGCCCGCGTATCATCAACATAACCGCCAGGAATAACGACAACCGTGAAAGGCAAAGATCTAGGCCTGTCCCGGTCCCCCGCTCGGGCCCGGACCCGAACCAGAACCCGAACCCGAAAGACGCAAGGTAAGGTAAGGTAAGGTAAGGTAAGGTAAGGCGGGTGCGCAAAAGATAAAGATAAAGATAAAGACGCCGCCGTCGCGTAAAGATGAAGATAAAGAAAAGAAAGACGCAAGCGAGCCGAGCCGAGCCAGAAAACGAAACAAGACAAGACAAGATAGGAGATAGGATAGGATAGGAAGGAAAGAAAGGAAATAAGAGAGAGAGAGAACAGCAACCGGAGGGAGGGCGGGGGCGGCGGCGGGGGCGGGAGGGGATGGAGGAATGAACGAACGAATGAACGAACGGGAGGGAGAGTTGAGTGGTCGGGAATGAATGGGAGAAAGGCAAGGGCAGGAAATGAGTTGAGTTGAGTTTCTGCCGCCAATGAATGGGAACATCGAGTTCGAACGCGTTGCTAATCCGAGAGCGAATCCGAAAGCGATAGAACACGCTGCTCTGCTCGAAAGCACGCCCGAAAACAAAAAACCCCTCACTCCCCAAAACAAAAAACCCCAACAAACTCACAAATGTTTAACACACGCAATAACCCCTTCCCCCTGGTACCCCCCAATCGTCGCCACCGTCGACGCGCCCGCCAGGAAGGGGTCCGCGCCAAAGCCTTCCCAGTTGCGGCCCGCGGCTGCTTGGCGGCCTGTGCGAAGTGTTATGTTAGCTTTTTTTTAAAAAGAAGAAGAAGGGGAAGGAGGCAGCGGGAGCGAACACGTAAAGTATGAGCGGGTAGAAAACAGAGCGTCCGCAGACAAAAGAAATAAAGGAGTAGAGTCGAGTTGGAGTGATTATGAGCGAGACAGTGGGCGAGCGGAGGAGGAAGGAGAAGATGGGATAAAATATATGCGGAAGGGATGGTGGTACGAAGGAGCAGGTTAGATTGCCTGCGGCGCGACCCCCTCGCCAGCTCGCTTTAAATGGATTCCCTGCCGCGCCCGATATAGTATGTAGGGCAGACTCTTACGAGTCAGCCCGGGACACCTCCTCACGGACGTATCCCATTGGACTGCCCGCGGCGCCCGATGTAATACATCGCATACGGACCAGCGCGTAAAAGGAAATGCGTCGCGCAAAGGCGAACGGCCACCCCGCTCTCCCACTCCACTCAAACCAAAGCCAGAAACAAAATCAACACAAAAACACGCACCCAAATTCGTCATCGGCCCCAACGCGACGTTCACGCCCTTGCCGCGATGCTCCCTCCCCATCGCCTTTGCGCGCTTCTCGATCAAATCAAGATCCCAGGTGGTGGCGGCGTTGATGGCGGCGGGGAACGCGGATACGAGGTCCGCGAAGCGGACGCCGAGGGGGGAGTCTTCGAGGCAGAGGCCGGGCCAGGAGAGGCGGGGGATCGTCTGCCGTCGTGATGTCAGCGTAACACAAAGTATCGCGAAGGAAGCGAAAAGGAAGCGGGAGTAGAGTAGAGTAGAGTAGAGTGGATATCGTAGAGTGAAAGTAGAGTCGAGTAAAGAGAATACAGAGACAAACGCACCCCCGTATTCCCCACACACCTTCCCAGCACATCCACCCCGGTAGTAACATTAATCTTCTCCGCGAGCGTCAGCCCGCCGACGAACTTGCGCGCCTTGGCGACCGCGTTCGCCCAGTCCGCCGTGCCCTGGACGTTCGGGGCGGGGACGACGACGGGGGATTCCCACGCTTCGAAGCCGGGCGGGGCGGCGTCGGCGACGCCGGTGATGACGTCGGCGGAGACGAGCGCAGGGGCGAGCGCGGTGAGCGCGAGCCCTGTGAGTGCTGATATCAGCATAGTTTTAGTTTGGTTTTGTGTTCAAAGGAAGGTCGGTTCCTCGCAGTCGAGGGAAAGTAGGAAACGAGCGTAAGCGCAAGAGGGAGTCAAGGAAGCGCAGAAGAAAGAAGCGACGCCGTCGGGGACTCGCTTTTTATTGGCTTACGAGACGCCGCAACGGACGCGAACAGCTGACCCGCCCGCCATGCTTCCTTTGCTGATCCCGCTGATTCTCTGTGATCCCCAGCTGATTCTCCACACTGAGGCGACGGGAAAGCGTTTGATCGACGGGCGGTGTGAAATTGCTTACATACTTACCTGCCGTTCTCTCATTCTGACCTCCCGAGTCAGACAATCCGAGTCGCTGCAGGCTGGCTTCGTCTGCAGGGCGAGAGGGATTCAAGAGCGGTCAGTGCCAGGATCCATGGACTGGGATGATTGGCAGAGCCCGCAGAGCCACGCAATTAGAGCTTATTAGCAAGTGATGCAAAACGGGTTTTGACAGATTATCTTCTCGCCCGTTTGGATTGTGGAGCAGGAAATGTATTTTGGTTCGAAAAAGACTGTCCCAATTGGGATGCCTTGTGTCCGGTCAGTTGTCCCAACACGGAAACATCGGCCGCTGAGCCGCTTACCTCCCGCCTCTCGACCACATCGCTCGTCGTGTCCTCCAAGCCTTCCCGGACGACGCTCTTGTCCCGACTTATCGCAGCTGACACATGAAATATATCCCCGTCATCGTTGTCAAGGATGGGGGCGAGTATGTGGCAGAGAAAGCGGCGTAGGGCGCTGGGCGGCATGGTGAAAGTCAAGCAGTAAAAGCTGTGCTACTGGCCGGAGGTTTGTGGACCTGACCGTTACTTTTCGATTTGTGGAGCCAAATTTCTGTTTCGTTTTGAGCAAGGCTCCACACGTTTTTTTCACGGAAACCATTTTGCATCAGTTGCTAATAAGCTCTATTCACTGTGTTGTGGATTGATGTGTGGCGCCGCCGCCAGCCGGATGTCGTGAGCGTGTGGGGACTCCGAGTCGGTCACCCCGCGTTTTGTTGTGCATTTCGTCTTGTGCGCCAAGGCGGCTTCGTCCTCCCATCCATCCGTTATGTAGGTTCAACAAACCGGCCTCGCCCAACTCTCGTTCTGCGGTCGGCACTTCGAGTCTTAAGCTTCATGGACATCGGAATCTTCCTCTTGTCGTCTAAAGTCTCTCTTCTCCGAGTGTGCTCAGCCTCCGAGCTCTCCGAGCCCGAGTTCCCCGCCCTCCGCGCTCATGTGATTTTTTTCTCTCTCTCCATGGCCAATCCAACATCTTACCATCTTACCATCTCGCCAGTCCCCAATGCCCGTCTGCCCGAACGCCGCGATGCCTTGGCGCCAGGCCCGGGCTGGATGTTCAAGAATAGGAATCAACTGACTACACACAAGTTCAACCGGCAATTCGGACTCTTAATTCTTCCCTCCAATTTCCGCCGTCGTTCAAAGCCTCCTCCCTCCAATTTCCCGCAGGTATACATGTATTTCTTCCTTCCGGAGGCCATGATAGCGCGCCAAGCGGCGCCGACGCGCCGTTCCTTATCATTTTCTTCCACCTACTTATCCATATCCATACTACTTATCCATATCCAGACTACTTATCCATACTAATCCATACTACTTATCTATATCCAGACTACTTATCCATACTATCGAACCTATCCAACCTCAGACGCCTAAAATAAAAGTACCTCGGACATGGTGTACGGTGTACGGTACACCGCCTCCAAGTCTATGTGCGGAAGGGAACAGTGTAGGAGGCAGCCCGGGGTTCGATCGCGACTCCCCGTGTCCAAATGGATCAATCTCTACCGCCTGTTGCCTTTTCTTTAATATATTATATAGCACCTCCGAACACCGACATCAACTCGGACGTGGTGCATGGCACATGGCACCGCCTCTCGATCTAAACAGTTGCCCGATGACCAGTGTAGGAGGCAGCCCGGGGTTCGATCGCGACTCCCCGTGTCCGAATAAGTGTTAACTTGCTCTCTTTTTGCCGGTAAATGCATCCCTGATTCTTTCCCCATACGAAAATTCGCTGACCTCGAAAGAGGTGAATTTGACTCGGACATGGTGTACTGTACATGACCTCTATTCGTATACATTTGAACAACAATGCGGGAGGTAGACCGGGGTCCGACTCCTATGTCTGAATGCACAACCTTCAGGTGCTTTTTTACAGTCTTCTCGCCAGCTCCCAGGAAGCTTGTCTACTTATTTTTCGCGCCTGAAAGAATGCCGCAGGCAAAATAAATTAAAATCGCGCTCTTTGCAGGCAATACCTCTTCACATCTCTTCTTCGAGTCCACGTCGGTCTAGATTGGTTGACCTATGGAACTTTGAATAAGTGAATTTAGCTCGGACATGGGGTACGGCACACGGCCTCCGCTGATCGGGGACAAGTGAAGGAATTCAGCATAGCAAAAGGCAGCCCGGGGTTCGACTCCCCGTGTCCGCATACATCGCCAAACGTGCTTTCTTTTTCTCTCATGTAGGGGCCCGGCCATTCTTGGTCTTTGCTTTGTCTCTTTCCAGACAAACATGCCGCAGCCGCAGCCACGAGCTTTGCAATGTTAATAGCCACTTCGGAAAAAAAAATGGATCTACTGTCCCACACACTGCGTGTCCGCTAAATCTTTTCTTTTGATTTGAATCTTGCTGACCTAGAGCACATCGAAGAGAAGAATAACTCGGACATGGTGTACGGTACACCGCCTCTCTACATTCGCTAGTATGAATCTAAGAAGAGGCAGCCCAGGGTTCAACTCCCCGTGTCCAAATGTGTCGGTGTTGCTAACCATTTTTATTACTGCCTCTCCACAGATGAAGTACCTTTCATGCAAAGTCTATGTCATGAGCTCTCATCCGACCCATATATGACTCAGCACCTTCGACTGTTCGTTCTTATCTTCTCTTCTGCTGACGAGATTTTTTTTTTTTTTGTGACTCCCCAACATGCTGGGCACCAACAAAAACACAGTTTGTGTAGGCTATTATTCCCGGTCTCTCCACCAGTCCTGGTTCGCACATCCCTTACCTATAGCACCTCAAAACGGTCGATTTACCTCGGACATGGTGTACGGAACACTGCCCTTCTGCAGAAAATATAAGTAGCAAGGGGTAGTTTGGGGTTCGACTCCCCGTGTCCGAATATTTCGGTAGGATCGTCATTTTTTTTCTCATGGACATAAAATTTCTCCCACCACAAATGTTCTGATTCAGAACCCTCCCTCAAAAGTTCAATGTCGCGCTGTTTGAGATCCTTTTCTTTGGTGTTGCAGCAACCAGTGTACTGAGTCAGCCACTTCAAACGATCTACTGAATCAACCATTTCGAAAATGGATCTACCTACTGACTATACCCCACTACTTACTTTGAATTCAACTCGGACATGGTGTACGGTACACGACCTCTGTTGATAGCGAGAAATTCATAGATGCAAGAGGCAGCCCGGGGTTCGACTCCCCGTGTCCGAATTTGTAACCACGTCTGAATCTCCATTTTATTTCTTGACTCACGGCACAGGAAATCTCCAGACTCTGGCGGTTCACAGCGCTGTATCGAATCTTCAACACGCCATAGGGAGTATTTCGCACGCTGTGTAGATTCAGTTCAAAAATGGAGCTACTGCTCGGAAATTGTCGTCCTGTCACGGTGTAGAGCACCGCAAACCAGTGATGTCGACTCGGACATGTGAATCTCGTCTCTCGATTCCACCCCATTCGAAACTCTCTGACCTAGAGAACTTTGAACCTGTAATATGAACTCGGACATGGTGTACGGCACGCGGCCTCCGCTCATCGGGGACAAGTGAAGGAATTCATGATCAGCATAGCAAAAGGCAGCCCGGGTTCGACTCCCCGTGTCCGAATTTCACGTCTCCCTTGCATCATTTTTTCTCCCATGCAAGGGCCCGGCCATTCTTGGTGTTTGCTTTGTCTGTTTCCAAACAAACATGCGGCAGCCGCAGCCGCGAGCTTCACAATGTTAATAGCCACTTCGGAAAAAAAATGGATCTACTGTGCCACACACTGCGTGTCCGCTAAATCTTTTCTTTTGATTTGAATCTTGCTGACCTAGAGCACATCGAAGAGAAGAATAACTCGGACATGGTGTACGGTACACCGCCTCTCTACATTCGCTAGTATGAATCGAAGAAGAGGCAGCTCGGGGTTTGACTCCCCATGTTCGAATATTTCTGCAGTGCATCTCTCTATTTTTGCCGCCACCACCGCAAGATGATTGATTATCCTTTCTTTTCTTCCCTCTCATCTCTCGAAGACCTTCCGCTGATGGTCGCATAATCGAACACAGCTGTAATATGAACCCAAACTGGCCTTTCTTCCGATGACCTCAAACTGGTATTTCATGCACCGCCCACCGCAAAACGCATCAGAATGTTCAAGTTCAACATCCCTTCTTCGATGGCACCCTCCTCCAGGAAAATTTAGCTGGACCTGAGGAACATCAAAACAGTAAAATCGACTCGGACATGGTGTACGGTACACGGCCTCCGCTCGTATTCACGAAGTTCAGGAGTATAAAGGCAGCCAGGGGTTTGACTCCCCGTGTCCGAACTGAGCTGAGTGGCTACTCTTTTTCCCCATGCAAGGCTGCTAAGTAACGGGCAACGGAATAGTTTGCCTCTCCCCATAAAAGCATGCTGCAGCCGCAGCCACGAGCTTCACAATGTTAATATTACGACGGTTTTTGCGGAAAGTAAGACAAAATCAACCAAAATTTATCACTCAATCTACACTACTGTTCCCCACTTTCTATCTCCTAAATCTTTTCTTTTGATTTGAATCTTGCTGACCTAGAGCACCTCGATAGAGTAAGATTAACTCGGAAGACTGTGCCGGCTCACAGAGCTGTATCAAATTTTGAGATGGTGTATGCATGGGAGTATTTCGAATGGTGTGTGGACTCCCCCACTGACACAGAAAAGATTGGATTCACTGCTCATGTCCTCGCCGTTCGAAATTCGCTGACCTATAGCACTTCCGAACAATAAATCCAGCTCGAATATGGTGCACGGTACACCGCCTCCGCTCATATTCACGGAGTTCAGGAGTATAAAGGCAGTCCGGGGTTCGACTCCCCGTGTCCGAATACAATCCTCCATCTCCATCTCCTTTCTTCTTCTCCTTCTTCTTTGATTCTTCTCTGCTCCAAAGAAGCTTATCTTACTTTCTTCCGCCAGGAAGACATGCTGCAGGTAAAGACAAAACGATTACGATATCCACAGGCTATTGTGATTCCCTCTTTCTGTAGGCTACTAGTATCAACCTAGTCGAAAATTCGCTGACCTACAGCATTTCGAAACAGTGAGGTTAACTCGGACATGATGTACGGTACACCACCCTTTTCAATCACAAAGGTAAACAGCATCGTGAGGGGCAACCCGGGGTTCGATTCCCCGTGTTCGAATTCGGCAGGAATGGCGACTTTCTTTATTAGTCTACCGTCTCGCCGCACGATTTCATGATCTCTCTTTTTTGCGCTTTTGTAGCAGCACACAACAGCAATATCCAGTCGGAGATGGTGTATGGTACACCGCCTCTGTTTATTCGCAGAAATCCGAAATAATGAGAGGCAGAACATTCGACTGCCCGTGTCCAAATATGACATGAAATGACCTTCTCTCGGGCTTGATTAAGATGATCATGTCCACCGGTGGGCTTACGCGGGCTTAGGATGGCAAAAAACCGACTGTTTTGCAGGCTTTTCCGGACTTTATCTGACTTGAATACAGTTATCTGGTTGCCGATTCCATTCCTGATGCACTGGAATGTGATATATGGTACAAAACACTGTTTGCACCGAAGCCAGTCAAGAGTTTCGCCCTAATCCGTCGAGGGAGTGTCCGCGCTGGTGCCGCGCTAGTTGCGCGCCGCGGCGCGTCAAGTACGCGTCAAGTGCGCATCATGTGCGCGTCAATGCGCGTCAACGCCGCGCCGATGCCGCTTCACTAGCTTCGACTCGGATCCATTATTTGCTGCCAGAACGACATCAGGAGAGGACTGGGAGTTTCACCCATCATCGGGTTAAGACAGGAAACACTGCACTGTTGCTCAACTTGTCACCCCTTTAGGAATGGCTTGGCAGAGGCGGCGCGCCGATCGGCGCGTCACGCCGCGTCACATTCGCGTCAGTGCGCGCCGCCCACGTCACTTTTACCCAGCCCAGTGGTTCCGCCTCAAGAACATCGCGCCCCGGTTCGAGTTTGGGCTCCGGCTGAGCTACACGATGTTCGGATACAGCGGGCTCAAGATCTCCCCCGTCAGTGGCGGCGCCCGTCACCACGGGCGCCGCGCCGCCGAAGTTAAACCGCACCCCGCGCACGCCAACGTCTCCTCCACCTCCGTCCGTCCGTCCTCCACCCTTTCCGCCAGTGCCACCACCATGCTCAGCGCGTCCGTCTCCGCCTCTGAGGCGCAAACGGCACCCGCTCCGTCTCCGCCTCTGCGTCCGTAATCACCTCGCTCTCCGCCTCCTGCCGAGTATACCTCACCCTCGTCACTTCGTTACTTCGCTTAGGACTGTGAAAGTTCGTCTCCTTGATGAGTAATAGTGAAAGTTCATCATTTCGATGAGTGTCCGCGAAAGCTCGTCACTTGAGGTGAGTCTTCGTGAAAGCTCGTCACTTCCGTGCGCGTGGGAAGTGTTTGGTCTTAGTTTGGTTGCTGGGATCACAAGTCTCTTTCTTACCGCGACCACACGCCGGCGATTTTGCGTGCACATCGCAGTTGCGTGCCCACCACCGGTCATGGACTACGACGCGTTTTCGGGGGGGCATCGAACGATTCGAGCGGTGTAACACTCGAACTCGAACGCGAAGGTAAAGAATAATGATACCAATTTTATTATTATTTCAATCCTGGGTGAGTAGACTCAGACTCTGTTTGTACTTCAAATTGTCCCCAATTTCTCTATCGAATGAACTGGTCTCAGACGAGGCGTTTAATCATGCCTTCGGGATCCGGTATACAGTGTTTAGTTAGTGTGTGGACTGACTTTGTACATCCAACTACAGTGCTGACCACAATTACGACTATTATTATCGGGTTGGCATGCAGTGATTACAACAAACAAGTTGACCCCTTCTAATCGCGAAATGATCGAGGCAGGAGTCGACAGTATATGCGCTGCAATAGAATGACTGCTCTGTGAGCAGTTCTTGATCAAATCCGACGAAATCCCACGGTTGAATCAATTGACTCTGAGAATTGGGCTGTGTGCAGCCGCCGGGTATTCAGCTAAATATCTGAGTTTTACTAGTCGACTCATCTCGATAGGGTGACCTCGTGCTGACGCTGCAGCAATACTCAGAGCCAGGCCGCGTCAACGGGCCTCCATGCCGCATCAATGCATGTCCTTTCTACCAAACCTTGCACGATGATCTTCGCCGCGGTCATGTGGCTATCTAAGTGACGAATTTACAACATCAGGAAAAACCCAAATTGATAATTATCCAATAATTACTGCCAATTATCACAACGGCCAAGTAATCGGGTAATTTTCGATAATCTCAGATAATTATTTTCCTTACGGTCCCTGTGCCTGTCGGAAGGTCAACAGCAGTGTAAACTGACATCCTACAATGATATTGGTGCCTTCCGAAGAGATGCTGGACTTCCAGACTGTATCGCCAGATTAGGACACGGCGGCGAAAAGTTTTAAGTCATTTAAACTCCGCCATCAACCAAACACATCCAACTTGTTTCATCAAATTTGATGTGGTACGACACTTCTTTCTTCCTTTCCCCCACTACCTTCCACCTCAAACTCTTCCAGTCCCTCGCCCACAGATGAACACAGGCTCTCCAACCTGCCTCCATGTAAAGTTCCCCGGCAAACCAACCGACTTGCTGGGTCCAAATTCTCCCTCACGGCTTTCTCAGGTGCCACGTCACCAACAGACATGGGTCTTGGGCGACACCATAGGCCTGGGTGACATGTATGTTTCCGTTCTGTACCACCTGCTCTCCTCTCGCCAGCATCCAAGCTCTCTCGCTTCCCGCTTCCACCCTCCTTCCCCAATGCCTTCAAATCCCGTCAACGCTCATCCGCATCCCATACCCCTCGGCTCGTCCCTGCCCATCACCAAGACCCGTATCCTTCCATGCCGGCAATTACGATCAAGACTTCTGGTCATCAACTGTCAATTCGTCCGCATCGGCTCGCAACCCGCTCAATTCGCCACAAACATGCTTCTCCTCAAGTAAGACTCACAAGTCAATTTTGGCGCTGCTCTCACTTGCACCTCGACTCAACCACTGCTCGCACAACGAGCTCATGCCTGCTCTGCCTCAACGTCAAACCTTACTACGTTCAATCAGTGCTTCACCATTCCATAACCTTCTTACAACCTCACTGATGCTTCCGTTGAATGTGTTCCGGGAAAGTGATGAACAACCAGGCAAGTCAGCTTAAGCCACGCAGTTTCGCAAATTTGGCCTCAAACTTACGAACTTTCACAATAATCCATCAATGAGACGAAGTTTCACAGTCCTAAGCGAAGTAACGAAGTGACGAATGTGGTGTGGACTCCCTCCTGCCCTTCACGCTCAAGAACACCGGCCGTGCCGCCGGCGCGGAGGTGCCCCGGCGACTGTATCTCACCTTCCCGCAGGGCTATAGGCAGCTGCCACAGGCGCTGCGCGGGTTCGCAAGTGTTAAGTTCAATCGCGGGCAGGGGAGGGAGGTGGCGATTGTGTTGCAGAAGAAGGATGTGAGTGTGTGGGATGTGGTGAGCCAGCAGTGGGTTGTGGCGAAGGGGACGTTTGGGGTGAAGGTGGGGGCGAGTTCACGGGATGTTAAGTTGACGGGGTCGTTCCAGTTGTAGGGAAGGGCTGAAAAATATGTATGTGACTCGATGTGAAGAGTAGTCTGTTTTGTTAGTTATTGTAGCAGTAATATTTATCCACAATTGGGACCCTTCTTTATCGGTTGTGTGAGGGGATTAATTGTGGACGCTCTTGTGATGTCGAAGCCGTGAGAGGTTGAAACCACCAAATTTGACGATGGAACATTTCAACTTGAACACGAATCGAATACATATGTAGGAACCCTGGCCAGAACCACTGAAAAATAACTCCGCACCTATACAACCTCGCAGCGGTCAATACAATCGGACATGGTGTACGGTGCACGTCCTCTATGTGTGTAGCAATCCGCACAGACACTTACTAAGTGGCAGGTCGGGGTTCGACTCCCCGTGTCTGAATCGATGCGGCGAACGTCTTTTTCCTCTTCGCACGCGGCAAGGTCGGCAATGGCAAGCAGGTGGTGATCGTGTTGAGATACGCGCAACCCGTGAGCGTGTAGGTGTGGTAGCTTGTTTTGTTAGTTATCCTATCAGGAATATTGTTTGCAGTTGTGCCAATTGTGTCGGCGGAGCTGTACTGGGGAGCAGCCGATGAATGTTCAAGTACTCACATTCAACACAAATGCATTTCTGTACAGCTCTGCCCGCCAATATTCACGCGCAGATCAAGGCCATCGAAACAGTAAATCCAGCTCGGATATGGTGGACGGAACGCTGGCTCTGCATGTGCATAACTAGGCTCTGAGTAGCAGGAAGCAGTTCGGGGTTCGGCTCCCCGCCTCCGATTAATGAAGGAGATCCTGCATTTCATTTTCTTTCTGTCGCCGCTACAAGGTGATTTTTTCTTCTCCTCTCGTGGTCCAAGAGCTTAAGTCCGGCCGACTACATATTAGGGTTCAAAATGGGGCGTTTCGCCGGCCATGGAGATGGATAAGTTCAACATCCCTTCTTCAACATTGCCCATCTTTCCTAGGAAAATGGATGTGTACCGCACGGAGAGCTTCGAAACAGTAAAGTCAACTCGGATATGGTGTATGGAGCACGGCCTCTCTTGGTATGACGATGATCCCGTAGATAAGTGCAGGACGGGGTTCGAGTCCCCGTGTCCGAATTAGTGCCCAAGCTCATCTGTTATGCTTGGGGAGCCGGAGGCATTGTATCTGTGTGTCACGGACAACTTTGTCCGCGCCTTCCAATTCTTTCCTCTCATCTGTCGTCCATTGCATCCGAAAATGGCAAATAGATATACGTGTTCAACTCAACTCCACAGCGTCAAGTGCAACCGGGAGATCGAGGTTCGACCGTTGTACCTCCTCTCTGGCGCAGCTCCGGAGAATGTTCGGCTTTCCCAATTGAATTTAACACGAACGCGTTCATCCCTCCCGCCTTTGCAAAGGATTATGCTAACATACAAAGCTTTAAAACAGTAAAGTTAACCTGGATATGGAATCAAGAATCTAATTTAATTTCATCTCGACAAGGGCTTCCGTGGGAAGACAAAGATGGAAGCGGGCGATTTCACAAGCCATTTGTCCATTACATGTAAAGTTGAGCGTGCGGAAGGTTCTTCCGAGACTAACATCCGAAAGATTAAGGAAAAACGTGAAGAACCGGCAGTAGAGTTTCTAAGCAAAGAAGGAGGCTTTCATGATGGAAGATGGAGTTGATAAATTCTCTTTTCGCTGATCCAAATATACATGCTGAGGATGTCGCCACTGAAATTTGCGGGGGAATTTGAGAACAAATGCTGCAACCGGGCGAGTCCATCTACTCGCACTGACTTGTATGCTCGGAGAGAGCCCCTCCGCTCCAATTGGACGCTTTCATGTGATGCTTGCGGTCAAAGGTCCCGTCCTTCGATCAAATACCCGAAGATATGGATCCGATCTTCCATGGGTGAGTTCCTGCTTCGTCTTCGCCGTGCGTATCTACCTACCTGTGACGCTGTGGGAGTTGGATAAGCCGCAGAATGTGCATGTTAGGGCCTTCCCAGATCCTCTCAATCACACTCTCATGCTGGCTCAACTTGACTTTCGTCGTCGCCGGTCTGTGGGTCCGTGTGGGTCCACCTCGTGTTCATGCACCATTCGGGTTCCTCTCCAATCATTTGTTGCCCTTTGAGCTTCGCAGTATCTTTGGTGATCGTTCACCACGGATCTTCGGGATACGGACCACCACCCAGCGATATCAAGAACAAGGGCTCGACTGCTCTTGGAAACTTTGTTCCAGTTGGAGTTACGCCTAACTTTCGTCTTGCCGGGGAGGCTCCGCCTGGCTCCGCTCCAATAGAAAGTGACGAGAGTTGTTCGGCGTCTCACGGTAGACAGGGAAGATCATTGTCCTTGTTTGCTCAGACACCCATATAACGGCGGTTGTTTGCCTGCTTTTCGAATTCCCCCTTCCCGGCAACTCTTTTCATGGCAAGAGTTCCTTCCCTTCAAAGTGTGTACACCAACCGGCAGCTGCATACCTGAGTGGTTTCATACTTGTTTGTAGTTATCCGCGCAGCCGATATCGTGTGGAGCCCGGCGGGTCTTTTGGAAAGAAAGAAGCCAAAGCTTTACGTCGCGATTTATCAAGATGGACCCACTCCAAAATCCAGCAAGACGCTAGTCGGAAGGACACCCCCAGAAAAGCGAGGGCTGACCCCTACGTGGAACAAGACTTTTCCCCTGTTGAGTTGGTTCCGCCCAGGAGTTAAGTGCACGCTCTGATTGACGACGATAAGGCCCATCGAGGCGTTGGGCCCCATTACTATTCGCCTCCACGAGACAGGGGTTTTCAAAGATCCATGCCTTGGGGAAATCTGTATCGATAAGGAAAGACTTTTGGAATCGTATAGCGAGGAGAACGGTGAGGATATTTCCCGCATTTGAAATTAAGTCGTGAATCACTTAAATTAGGTGCAGCTGTGGAGATATCGGCCAAGTCAAAGCGTTCAGCCAACGTTTTCATTCGCGTGTTGAACACTCCAGCGCGGGACGTCATCGACAACGTGATTGGAGACGTGAAAAAGATCACAACTGATGTAGGGGAGATCATACGAACCTCTGGAGAGCAGGTCGCAAAGGTCTCGGAGATTACCATGGATGAGGGTGTCGAGTCAGTACTTAGAAAGCTCAACATAATAATCTCCATCGGTGACGAAATCGCGAAGGTACGTCTCGTCGATTATCTCTTTTCAATTCAGTTCGGCCTAAATCTGTGCCAAGATCCACCCATATGCACAAACGGCGTGGGCTGTTCTAACATCCGCGTACAAGGTGCGCTTCTCAGCCTACTGGTTCCTGTTTGCGCTTATTGCGGTGATTCAAAGGTTGTGAAGCGGCAGCAAGAAACCGATGAAAAGCTGCTGAAGCTTGTTCGAACCATGGTTGATGTCTACTCTTTTGTGGAAGAAATCGAGAAACTACGCGACACGATCCGGAAACTGGAAGCAACTGTCTTGGAGATTACGAAAGAGACTGTGGAGTGCGCCATCTTCATTCGCGAATATGCCCGGCAGGCGTTTTCCGTGAGTCATCCTGCTATTGACGTACGCTCTTCTAATATGCTCAGGGCGGGTTGCTCAACACGCCTTGACTGATACACAACAAATCGTCGGGAAACTTTCGAGCAAGTTACTTGAATTGAAGGAGTCCCTCAAAGAGAGCATATCTGTTCACAATGTATTCTCCTCCGCAAAACTTATGGAGAAGGTTGAAGAATTAAGTGAGTTAATCTTCCATAAAGGTCCGCTCCATCACTGACTCCCCACGCTATAACCAGTTGAATCGGATGCATTGAAAATCCTCAACCCAACAGAATTCAATGCTGCAGGCCGTAGTGTTTGTATTCCAGGTACTCGGCAAGACATCCTAGCACAGATCATGGAATGGTTGGCCATGCCGTCAGATACTGGGAATATTCTGTGGTTGCATGGCGTCGCTGGCGCCGGAAAAAGCACTATATCAACGACGGTCACTGATTATTTCAGCAGCCTTGACCGTCTGGGGGCTGGTCTATTCTGTCGACGAGGTGATACGGCAGGAAGCAGTCCCGACAGCGCCATCCGGACCATCGCATATAGGCTGGCCAAGCATAGTGGACCTATCCGGACCGCAATCTGCGAAGCGATTGCCAAAGAGTCAAATATTCTCGCCACAACCATTGAGAACCAGTTCCAGAAGCTGCTGCTGGGGCCTCTCGTTGCTGCCGTCTCCGAGAACAAAATTCATGGACCAATCATCATCGTTCTGGATGCATTGGATGAATGCGGCCAGGTTCCCCGAGACCGCCAAAATCTGGTCTCTTTGATTGCGAACGAGTTTTCTAAACTCCCGACCGTCTTCCGGTTCCTGATTACCAGTCGTCCTGATTCCGACATTTCATCTGCATTCGAGCTGCAACCTCTTATCCATCAAATTCAGCTTAACATACACACTCCGAGAACGCAAGAAGATATCTTCAAATACATCGATACCACTTTGAAGGCGATCAGGCGTAAAAGGCCTCGTAGTCTGGATCCTGACTGGCCGGCGAAGGAGGCTGTACAGACTCTGACGGACTGCTCTGGCGGGCTCTTCCAATGGGCTTCCCTCGCTACAAAGTTTATTGACAGCGTAAATCCTCAAAAACATCTCGACACCTTACTGAAGTCGAGTCACAAGCTGACCAAAGACCTTGATGCCCTGTACATGATGGCGCTTCAAAATTCCATCGACTGGGAAAATGATTCATCCTCAAACGAAGTTTTATCGGTCCTTGGTGCTGTTGTGCTCAGTAGAGCACCTCTATCAGGCGAAACAATGGATTTCCTCCTTGGCCTGGGTCTAGGAATGACCTCTGAGCTTTTGCGATATCTCGGCTGTGTCTTGCAGTGGAGTGACGGCCAATCTGTGCGACTGCTCCATGCATCCTTTGGTGATTATCTCACGGATGAAAAACGCTCTGGCCGTCTTCCATGGTTCATCGACTCCAGAATACACAGTAGACATTTGGCCCTGAGATGCTTGGAAGTCCTCAACCAAGAGCTCCATTTCAATATCTGTAACCTCGAGGACTCTCATGTCCTCAATGTAGATGTGCCGCACCTCTCAGAGCGCATTGCAGAGAACATAGCCCCCCATTTGTCTTATGCAGCTCAATTTTGGGCGCAGCACCTTCGTGAAGCCGGGCCTGATCAGGAAATTGTTGCCGAACTGGGGAAGTTCATGCATACTGTCTTCTTATATTGGCTGGAAGCTCTTAGCTTACTAGAATGCGTAACAAGGGCAACCGAATGCTTGCTGATTGCCGCGAATTATACCGTGGTGAGCATTCATTTTTCCTCATAAAGTCTCCTTTCCCTTATCAACTTTGATAGCTTGTGAATGGAGATTTGAATGTCTTCATCAGAGACGCACTCCGGTTCGTAGCAGCTTTTGCACCCGTGATCTCACAGAGTGCCCCACATCTTTATATTTGCGCCCTTCCATTCGCAGCGCGGAACTCTAGTGTTCGACAGCACTTTGCACCACACTTTCCTCAGACATTGCAGTTCGAAGGAGTTTTGGGAGACAGTTGGCCAAGCCTGCTAGAACTGTTGGAAGGCCATACCACTGGTGTTGCATCCGTCGCGTTTTCCCCAGATGGAAACCGAATCATGTCCGGGTCGCAGGACCGGCTCGGGATCGTTCGCGTCTGGGATTCCCAACGCGCTAGCATGATTGGCACTTCCTTCCAATGTCCGCATCCCATCAAGCATCTCATGTTTTCAGCAAATGGCAAACAGATCATTTCTGTGTCAGCCAGCAGCATTATTCAAATCTGGGATTGCGATAGCGGCGCTCTCGTCGCTACATCATCAGAGATAGCTGGTACCAATCTTCTATCCGTTGCTCTATCTCCAGACGGCAAGCATATAGCGTTGGGGTCAACACCCACATCGTGGACCCCAACCCTACCGTTGATTAACGTCCGAGATTCAGCGACCTGCGAGCCCATAGGTCCACAATTCCAAACTCACAACAGTGAGAGTTGGTGCGAGGCTCCCACTATCGCTTTCTCCCCTGATGGCAAGCACATCGTTGCTGGTTGGGGCCAACACATGGTCAAGGTCTGGGATTGCGAAACTGGTGGACCAGCATTTAC